TCTCTCTCTCTCTTTCACACACACACACACTCTCTCCCTCTCTCTCTCCCTCTTCCTTTCCCTTTCCCCCTTTATTATCTCTTCTTTTTTCTCCCTTTTTTATCTTTCCCCTTGTACTTTTCTTCTTTTGTTCTCTTCCCATCCCTGCTTGTGTTTCACTCCATTTTCCCCTGTCTTGTCACTGTTTCCCCCTTCTCTCCTCCCTGCCCTCCCCCCCTCTCATTCTCCCTTTGTTTACTCTCCCTCCTCCTCCTTCACTCTCCCCGTCTCTCCATTTACTCTCCTCCTCTCCCCTTTTCCCTACTTTCCCCCCTCATCCATCACTCTTATATTCTCGTCATTCTCCCCATCTCTCCATTTACCCTCCCCTTTTCATTACATTCCCCTCCCGAATCACTTTTATTTTCCCCCTCACTCTCATTTTCCCTCTCACTCTCCCACTCTTCACTCCTTCCCGGTGACATCACACCCTCTCTCCTTCCTCCACCAGCCCAGTCATCGGTCGTGTTGTTCGCTGGGTTCTGGTTCCTGTGCGGAGTGGCTCAGGGCCCAGCCTGGGCAGCCTGCGGGGTCATGCTCAAGAAGGTCAGTGAAGCTGGTGTGTCTTCTTCTTCTCCCCAGGGCAGTACCATTGACTGAAGTGTCTTTAGGCCATTCCCAAAGGGGAGACATTTCTCATTCAAGCACAGTAGAATTGTAAATGGGCTGATTCATCATGTCACGCTCATAACTGTGCCTGATCTGCAACAGGGAACTCTTGTGACCCGCTATTTCCGGGGTGCCTTGATAGTCGAAGCAGACTTTGTGCTGTTGAAGCTAAAGAGGTGAGCAGAGTAAGTCTGATTCCCTGTAAGGACTTCTCTGTTGACATCCACCCCTTGGTGCTCATACAACCTTATGCAGTTGCAAGCGCCGTAAATCCTCTACTAAAATAAACAAAAACATTTTGTCGAAATAAAAATTCTTAATGTGAAAATAAATTTAAAAAACAAACAAACAGCATAACGTAGGGTTAATTGTTTAAAGAATGAAACTGTTTTTTCTGTCACCTGAAGAATTTTGATTTGTTGCGTTAGTCCATTTGAAAAGCGCGCAGACAATTTACAGTTACTATCTCTTCTGTCACCCCCCCCCCCCCAACTCCGAGGGTGGGTGGTTGGCGAGTGCTCTGGTGGTGAGGTTTGCTTCTTCTTTCCTATCAAACATCTATCGTCTTTATCTCGCCTCTTTCTTTTTTATGTTTGCTACTCTCTTGTATCACCTCTAATCTTCGGCACTTGTATGACCTTATTATTGTGTTGCAAGTGCCGTAAAACTGTTACTAAAACAAAAACCCAATTCCTTCATCTTTTCCAGAACTTTCCGTCGGATCAGCTGGCCACCTGGTGGAGCGTTCTCTCCACGTCCACCAACGTCGCTGGCACGGCCGGACCTCTGGTTTCGGGGTTTTTGATTTACTATTACAACTGGAAGACAGCCATGCTGGTGGCCAGTAAGTACCAGTACCGCAGTACTGCCGTAAGCCAACAAAATGCCTTTTTTTATTTTGCTGACCTATATTTTCTATTTTTGCTAAATCGAAAGCCTGATCGGTTATCCTATTTGTGTGAAAAAATCAAATTGGAACTGTGACCAGTTTTTGAATAAATGTTAGAATTTTAATTTTAACATGACTATTTTTTAATGATTACAGGGACAAAAAAACTCCCCTCTTTTTCTCGAAACTGCTCTGAAGAAAAAGAGGCGTTTTGTCAGCTTACAGCAGAGTTAGGCCTATTTTCTTTCTGTCCTAATTGTCATGTTTTTGGTGATTAAATTTTCTTTTTAATTTTCTGTTGAGTCAAACTGGAGTCTGAGGTGTAGCGGTTAGGCGCTTCAGTGTCGCACACAGGAGACATGAGTTTGATTCCCCGAGTGGGGAGAACATTTTTATTGAGTATCTCAGCTTTTTTCGGATGTTGTATCCCTCCCGGCCGGGGTTGACCCTGACTGACACAGGCAGGGTCAGAAGCCAGCGGACCTCCTTATAGTGATCTAAATTGTGCCGATGTGGGTGTACCTTAAAAAAATAAAAGATAAAAAAACCAGTTGTTTCAAATATTGTTTTTTATTCTTTTGGATAGAAAAAAGCACAACACTCTCTCACTCATTCACTTAACACTTTACCGCCTAATCTCACCGATTGCCGATGTTTACCACCCAGTTACTTTGGATAATTTTCCCCAAAATATGATGGCAAAGTGTTAATCTCCTTCCTCCATACCCCTGTTCTGAAGGTAAGAAAGATCAAGTGCCTAGTCTTTTCGGATAAAGACAAAAAACCTCGGAGTTCATCCCAATCACCTGAAGAAAAAGATATCGGATGGACAGGTAGAAAGAAGAAAGAAGAATTGTTATACTGACCCACCTGACCCATACCCTGTCTAAGATAGAACAAGTGCGGGTGGTTAGAGGATGTCACTGGTAGGTCTTACGACTATTTTTCTATCCTTCAAATGACTCTCGTTGAGCTTTTCTTTGTTTTAAAAAAAATGTGGGTGGTTGGCAGATGCTCTGATTTGGTTTGCTCCTTTTTTTCGCGTCTATCATCTTTATTTCTCCTCCTCTTTTTTTTAGTTTGTTACTCTCTAGTAACACAGTTACATCTTCGGCACTTATTATACGATATATTTGTGTTGCAAGTACCATTTAACTCTGACTAAAACTTTTTTTAAAAACCTCAAACAAATTGTAGCCCCTGCTGTGTAGCTGCAGGTTCAGGGAATCGAGACTTCGCCCGGCCCGGTGTTGTTTATCTGAGAAAAGCTGTTTACACAAATTTTCCTCCCTTCACCCAGGTGTGAATGGGCATATGGCATACGGCCTTAGAACACGAAAGATCTTGTCAGTATGTTGTTAGTGTTTTAGCACCTGTGTATAATGACAGCCTCTACTTCTGCTGTATGCTTCCCAAGTGGTTAAAGTTTTTTCGGAATGCTATCCGGTCTACTGAGCTAATAATGTAGATTGGAAAGTGCGTTGAGCTTGCTGTGTGGGCGGTTGACGGATGCCCTGATGTGGTTTGTTCCTTCTGTATTTTCAAACACGTATCGTCCTTATCTATGCTCCTTCTTTTTTTGTGCTGGTTACTCTTTTGTAACACTTCTAATCTTCGGCATACATATGATCTAATTGTGTTGCAAATGTCGTAAAATTTCTTACTAAAACAAAACAGGTTGCTTTTGAGTAGGAATTTGCTGCTTGCACTGTACAAATGATATTATTTATTATTTTTGTGTAAAGATGTGACACTAAAGTCGATTCTACTTCTCTGCCAATCCCCCTCTTTCCCACCCACCCCCACCTTTCCATACCCCCTCCCCTACCCCCT